ACTCTAAGAACATTCAAATTACTGGATGACAAGCTAAATCTGGGTTCTATAATCTCAGGAAGAACCAATTATCAATTCACTCCTAGCTCTTTATAATTTTTTTCTACATTGACTTTCAAATCAAACTACAAAATTCTCATGCTCAATCTTTCTGCTTAAATAGTCAAACTCACTCATACTCTCTCAACATGCATAAACCTTCTGTTCATAAAAGACATCTTTCTTATTATCTTCATATTCTTTCCTATAATCTTCCTTTATTTTGTTCCCTCTTTACATTGTCCTTTAAAATTTTAGTATACATTGTTGTTAAATAAAAACTATGACTTATTAAAACCTTCCTTTCCCAGTTATATCCTTAATTTAAACTCAAGTGACCTTTTTAGCAATATACCTATATTCTTTCGCTTGATTTGTCACAATGTAACAAATTTGTAGAAACCCAACAAACCATAAACAATATAAACAATATTTGAAACTTGAAACAAACCCTTTACCAATCAGGTGACTCCAATCCTGTTGAATTCATTTCCAAATTACCTTATACAGAAAATCAGGCATCTCATCACTATTGGCATTGTATACTGATCACATTTAAAATCCCATATAAAGTTATCAAGTATGAAGCAATTCCACCTATTACAGGAAATAATAATTATAATTAATATAATATTTGCCCTACACCAGGTATTATGTTAGGCTTACAATCATGTGAAGTAAACTGAGGTAAATAGATGTGAGGTAACTTGCTTAAGGTCACCCAGTTAATAAATTCCAAATCCATCCATTTTCCCAGTTTGTCTTAATGCCAAAAAATATAATAAATTCTGACTTATCTTAAACATCAAATTAGGAGAGACAAATTTCACTTAAAGAGCGACCAGAATGAATTCAATTACCTTTGGGTTGTGTCCTGGTACAAACACACACACACACACACACACACACACACACACACACACACACACGAAAAAAAAATTTCCCCTTTTTCATGAGCCAGGAAAAGGTTAAATGCCAGTCTGATTCCCAAGTGCAAGCCTTGAAACTTTCACTGACACAGCCCCAAAACTTGTCTTTCTATAATCAGTGAAATGTCCTTCTTCTCTAACTGTAATAAATAAATAAATGAATGAATGAATGAATGAATGAATGAATGAATGAATGAATGAATAAATAAATAAATAAATAAATAAACCAGTCATGGTGTGGTGGAGTGAGGGCAGGGGCAGGGGGCAATGGGAGAAAGAGTCGATCGAAACCTCAGCACAGTTCAGAAATGCAAAAGAAGAGAACAAAATCTTTCTAAAAACATAAATTAGCTAACAAGATACAAAGACACATATATGCACAGATACTAGAAACACAAACAGGTCAACAATTTTTTTCTTTCAAAAATTTCCAAACTATTTACTCTCAAATCCTCTGTTGACACTGTTCAGGCAAACAGATTTATGACTTTCTTTCTGCCCATGCTCCTCTTATTCCTACGTGCTTAAACGTTCTCACTTTCCCTTCTAGAAAGCATCCCTCTAGTGGACTTTGATTAAAGCTCCTTTAAAATGGCACATGTCTTGTTTCTTTTCTATTCTGATCCAACATTTCTTACTTTCTTCTAATTGCTTTTACCAATCATATCTCAAATAATCTTCACTTCACTAAATCTCTCTCTCTCTCTCTCTCTCTCTCACACACACACACACACACACACACATTCACCCACCCCTCTGAGGCTGCTGCAGTGAAGGAAGGAGGGAGGGAGGGAGGGAGAGAGGGGGAGTAAGAGAAAGAAAATCTCTCTATCCTGTATACCATCCTCTGAATCTTCCCCTATATTTTTTTCTTCCCAGGGATCCCCTGCCTTATTACCTTCACATCTACATGCTTTAACTCCATTCAACCTGGCTAACCAGCAAGCCAATGTTTCTACATGCTTCTCCTTATCTGCCTTTTCCACCAAGTCCCCAACTACTAATGCTGTGGCTTTCCACATGTCTCATTCCAATTGTATCTTTGCCTTGATCCTTAAGATTTCCCCTTCAAGGTCAAGGCACATGGTGGTGGCTTCCCTCAATGCAATGAGAAAGGGCCACCCCACATCAGTCACCACCCTTTTCCTTTCCCAACCCAATATGATGGAACAAAGTCCCACCAAGAGGATCTCCTGACCTTGATGCATTTTGGGGGCATGCCACTACTCATGCAGTGGCCCACATGTGTCCAGCACACAGGCCACTCCACCCCACATGACCTTCCAGGGCTTTCTTCCTGCCAAGCCCCTACTCCCGTTGATATTCCTTCAGTATCCTGTGACCACACCAATTATAAGATCTGGAATTACCCTGCACAGGGATATTCATCCCCAACCCCGCCTCCACCCACCCACCCAAACAAACAAACAAACAAAAAAACAATAGGGTAAATTTGATACTGAAGAAAGAGGCTGGGAACTCCATGATGATTATATAAGTAGTTTAATAATCACACGGATTACTTACAATAAAGGCAGTCTGAAGGGGTAGCCAGATGATTCAGTAGACCCTGGCAAAGACCCCCAAAAAGGCCATTGGTAACTATAGAAATCAAAGAAAGGGAAGAGGAGCGATAGATCATCATTACATATGTTATTGTGGTTTAGCTAATGTTTTGATTTACTACTTAGTAATGAGCTTGAGTCTAGATCCCTGGGCATCAAGGCCAGTATTGTTGGGTAGATGTCCAGACACACAAGGACTTATACTGGTCACTGTGACCTTGTTATGGCTTTCACCAATTGGGATGCCACAATCATCATAACATAGTTCTGTTACTATGTACAATGTTCTCCTGGTTCTGTTCATTTCACTTTGCATCAGTTCATATAAGTCTTTCTAGGTTTTTCTGAGAACATCCTGCTCATCATTTCTTAGAGTACAAGAGCATTTCATCACAGTCATACAATGGTCAGCCATTTCCCAATTGATAAGCATCCCCTCAATTTCCAATTCTTTGCAGCCACTAAAAGAGCTGCTATAAATATTTTGTACAGGTCTTTTTCATTTTTTTTTAATTTTATCTCTTTGAGATACAGACTTAGTAGTGGTATTGCTAGGTCATATGCATAGTTTTATAGCCCCTTGGCATAGTTCCATATTATTCTTCAGAATGGTTGAATCAATTTACAACTCTACCAACAGTCCATAAGTGTTTCAATTTCCCATAACTCCTCCAACAATTGTCATTTCCCTCTTATGTCATATTTACCAATCTGAATAGGTGTGGGGTGGTACCTCAGACTTATTTTAATTTGCAATGCTCTAATCAATAGTGATTTAGAACATTTTTACATAAGACTATAAATAGCTTCAATTCCTTCATCTGAAAATTCCCTGTTCATATCCTTTGACCATTTATCAATTGAGGAACGGCTCTTATTTATATAAATTTGGCTCAGTTCTCTATACATTTGAAAAATAAGGCCTTTATCAGAGAAACTTGCTGTAATTTTTTTTCACAGTTATGATTACTGTGTATTTTCCTCCATTCCTATTTTCCCCTGTTTATCCTCTCTCTCTCTCTCTCTCTCTCTCTCTCTCTCTCTCTCTCTCTCTC